TTCGTTAACGCCTCGAGTTCGATAGCGGTAATGTCACCAATACAATGAATTGACCTAATGCATTATTTAGACACAAGACCTTTGACAGAATATTACAAAACCTATAATGATAATGAACGACATTGCAAATTAACCCAGATGCCAGAAAAGAATATATGTCACCTCGCCATTGCATGACATACGATTTGCTTGCAGTGACTCAACTAGATGAGTGTGCCCATGGGCTGAGGTGGGTTGGGGCCCCTCCACGTAAGAAATATTTCCAACAAATGCTCTCATGCATTCTTAGACCCTTCTATAAATCAAATCAATGCTTGTTAATGGAAGATTTTAAGATTTTCAGGCTGTAGTTCTTGCTATTTCACTCATTTATATATTGTTAGTTGCCAAGTTTGATTTTCTGGTGCTTGGGCCCTTAGTTCAACCAGGCCCTATGGTAGTTGTGACACTGTTAGTGTGGGACAAAGACTGGAACGTAGAAACTATGAAGCTTAGAAATTGGCAATAAATACAAAGCACAGGAGTACAAGAATAAAATACATTATAAGGGTCAATGTGTCATTCACCGTAAGAATCAAGTAATGTAACCCAAATTAGGACCTGTGCTTGAAAATTACTGAAATTGACACACAGCTAAGATTCAAACGTGTAAATTTCTTACTGATCAACTGACCAACCGAAATATAAAGGAACTTTGGCATATCGGCGTCAATTCAAATGTTATTTCATGGCATACGATTTTAAGTTTCTCATTTTACAAAAGTGGACGTGGTCCACTTACATTATTCTGGTTATGTATTGAGGTTATTAATTAAGAAATAAAAAATTTAAAGGACACCTTCATATAAAAACGATTTACTACTGATCACCTCGGCAGTTAAACAATACACAAGCTTGATAAACTATCGTCAGCCATTAAGTTAATACCCATTAGACCATTTCAAAGTAAAATATTTACTAAACAATGATTGGCAATCACGAAATATATTAACACTTCTTTGTAGGGATGGTACCTAGTGATTTTAAACACATTTGTGTGAAGCTTTTGAATTACTACTATTATCAATATTATGGTCATCCCAATACAATTCATTTTAGATAGCATTCCCATAGGTTGAATGAATTTCATCAGCTTTTATCTTAATACGTAACCTAAATATACAAATTAGGACTAAACATAACGATAAATGGTGTTACCATATTTAAAACTCATTCACCAAAAATAGACTTTGAAAAGTAGTCTCGATATCTCCTGGTGTATTTTCAGTAGTATGACGTCATTTATACTACAACCTTCTACTACCACTACAGAATATTTTAATAATAGGCCTGCTATAGCGAATTTATTAGGTTTCGTTCATGAAATTATCATTGATTTTGTTAGGAACTGAGTTATAACCGTTTCAACTTTGCATTTTGAATGTGCTCAAAACTTCATCTACATTTGGACACTAAATTTGTAGGAAAGAAGGAGCAGTTATATTCGAAGAGAACTGCCAGTATAGAAGTTATAACAGTTCCCTGTTGTAGTCGGAAAGGACTGCCAGAATATTTCAACAATCCTTTCTACGACCCACGTTATCTTATCTGTTAAACTTAAAATAATATTAGCCTGATCGTCACTTACAGTCAAGTAACCTAATTTCGTGCTAACTTATTTATCGTGCATCTCCGGAAATGATTAATGATTACATGTGCGACCTGAGTGGCCTCCGCATTTGCCTGTTTTGATAAACATGGGTTATCTCTACATTGCATCGATTCCAGTAGTTTCAAGCAAGGTAAAATGTATCAATGTATAGTTTGACATAAACAAAATGGCGGATTTCAGTTATAACTTATCTAATTTTGTCAGTCAATTTTTTTTTTTAAATCATTTATCTTTGAAGGAATTGTCATTAGTTACAATGAAATACTATTAAAGATAAATACTAAGAAAAGTTAATTATACCACTGTGTATCAATACACCGGGTTTTTCTCGACTTATTTATAGATCAAACATTTCTCACGAAAATAGGTGGCGCATTTTTCCGCCGTTGTCGAGTTGTTTACTCATGAAATATGTGCCAAAGTGGGGGATTCATAAAGAAAATCGAAACAAATAAATTTTAATTATTTTATAGAATATCTGAGGAAACTTTTAAGATATGAAAAAAATTGCCGTTTTTTAAATCTGACGAAATTCGGTGTTGAATCCTTATGTGCACGAAAATAGGTTACATCACTTTTTACGAACTTTCTGCCCTTCTGTTCTCCTTTAGTCCTTACTCTTTCTTCTCGCAAAGTATCTTGATAGAAAGTTTGAGGAATTGAAATATCAGCTTCAAAATACTACTGAGTGTCTTAAATTTTCTTAAGATAGGTAAAAATCAACTAATGGAAATAACCTTAATTTTTTACAGATTTTGTCTTAAATGTAATGTCATCAAAGCTTATATTTCCGTTGTAGTTTTTGAAATAAAAAGTTTGGCACAATGGTTTGGTCTTATGTCCAAATCAAACAAATTTAAATCCAAAAGTGTGGATTGTAAATCACAGTAAGTTTGACTTTTGTTACTAAGCCATGGTACGTTGAACAACATTTCCAGTTAGATTGAAACTGTCACAAATTATTAACTTCTGATATTACGCTCTGACAAACCTGATTCGAGTAAATGAAACTTGATACTTAGCGTCAGAAAGTAGACAACAGGTGGAAAGCTTTTAATGATGAATAAACGGTTGCCCCGGAGTGAAACAGCACATGGGGCAAGGTCACAGTGACACAGTTGCGATAGAAATTCAGTTCTTATAATAGTTCGTCATAAATAAAATAATAATGATAGTCTAAAATCCCTTATGTTCGTTACTCTGCACATCACTTAAATCTCATATATTTTGTGGATAAAATTTATCATATGTTAAAAAGACAGTGAACGACATTTAGGGGGGTTGATTTCAGTGTTTAATATATGTAATTAGTCTTTAAGTACTTGAACTAGGGTGGTTCGTTTACGACATCATTTATTTTTTTTAGTTTGAATTAAAAAACTGGAATATAATTATAAAACATAATTTTGAATTAAAAACTTGTATTTTCTCCCAGGTGATATTCAATAGTATTTTATTAAAAACGAAAAACTTGAATTTCCACCTGGGTAAAAATTTATTTTCATCCGGGTGGATGTTTTTGATTAAAAATTCTAGAATTATCACATGGGTAAAAATATATTTTCATCCGGGTGGATGATTTTAATTAAAAATTCTAGAAATTCAAGTTTTTAATTAAAAATTATGTTTTATAATTATATTCCATTTTTTTAATAAAAAATTTAAAATAAATAAATGATGCCGTATACGAACCACCGTAGAAATCTCATAATTCCTTTAAAAATACTTCAAGCTAGTAATTTTACTCACTTTTTCTAAATATGTCTTTTCTCCATATCACAGTGTATCTTAAGATGACGATTTGTCATTATAAAATTCAAACGCAGATAATTCTACACATGGATTTGTAGGTTCAAATTTTGACGATGAGCTTTGACAGATTACTGATTCCCGTTTCTGAGACTAAGGTATGATTGATGAACAAAATGGCGCACTTATCCCTTAAGTTGTATAACTTGTATAATGTTTTGATAAAAATGCGTGTTTTTAACTGCTACTTAATGTTTAAGAGGATTTGACAGGCACGCATAGTGACAGTTGAATTCCACAGAAACAGATTCTGATAATAAAAACTCCTCTTTGGGTGTCAGGAGATTGAAACCGAGGAGTGCGTGGTGGTTGGTAAGGAGATGCTTACTTAAAATGAATATGTTGTCAAGCCATTGATATTGATATAAAGAAACATTAGGACTTTATATTAGATTGGGTTGGATTGGATTATCTGTTGTTCATATAGCATTGGTGTGATACGGACAGTTGCTCTGCGATTTTATGTAAAAACTAGTCGATCAGTGAAATCATGAATATGTTGTAGTTTATCAGAATGAAAGAAGTCCAATTAGGAGAGATTTGGCATTCTCTTGAAAAAAAAGAACCAAGGAATTTAACAGGATTTTGGTGTCATCGGTTGACAGATATTATAAAATGATTCTTATGTTTCGAAGTTGATAGTGACAGGTTTCAATAATGTTATTTATTTGTTTTTCCATGTTCATCTTCACAATACCCTTATAATCTGGGATGATAGGGTAGATTCTATATAACAACTTCCAATAGACACAGACAGATCAGCAGAATCTGTTTATTTTGTAGAAGAGGTGAGCAGATTCAATGACTAGCGCTACGATAGTTTAATATGCTGTACATTGTAATCCCATTTTGACAACAGAAAACTGTCATTGCCCGAGCAATCAGCTTGCTAGTTGGATACGATAGTTTAGTGTGCTCTCTTTTTGACCACAGAAAACTCTCATGATAGTTGGACATGATAGTTTGGCTTCTCAAAATCTGCAATCTGCTAGCTAGGCATTATACTGATATTTTGGTGTGATGTTCGTCTCTTCTAACAACAGTAAACTGTCATTGATCAAGTAATATGCTAGCTGGGTTGAAACGATAGTTTGACATACTCTAGTCCCATCCTGACAACAGAAAACTGTCATTGTGTCAAGCACTCAATCGACTACTTTATTGGACACGAGAATTTTGTATGAATATAGGTCACAAGGCAACTCTTCTATTATGTTTGTAAAAAAATTGATAAGCAATTGGATTAATGTGATTAGTAATGATTATCCTTTGAAATGGATTAACTGATTGTTCTCACAAAAATTGTTTTTTTAATCCATCGTTTAACGGACCCTTATTGGACCCCCTATGCTTTTGATTTCATACGGTAAAGACTGATCAGAGACTAGGTAAAGATTTACTAATCCGTGAAAACCTGGTAACCACCGAAACTGTTATACCGAAACAAACCGTCACGTTAGTTACCCCGAAAATAAGCAATATATACCCTGTATTCTAATTAAATTATCACAGTCATTGGATCAACTTCATCAGTCAATTTGACAAATCACCTCAGTCGAAACTTTTTTGGATCAAAATGAAAAATCTTGATTTGGTAAACCGAGATCCCAACAACATCAACGATCACATTGAGGTAAGTCTAAAAAAGATTCAGAAAATCTTGATTTGGTAAACCGAGATAAAGAACATTCTGATTTTCTAGTCTTTGTATGTGTATAAGGAAGTGCCATTTCATTACCTTCCCTGCAATTCCTGAAAAACATGGCCAGATTTTGATTGTAAAAAATATAATTTTTCTTAAAAGACTCGAGAACTTGGTCCAACAAGCATTTAATTGTCCAAATTGCTTTTCATTTAGTCGCGATCTTTGTCCATTAAGCTTTCAAATGACCCGTATCATTTTCAGAATCTACAAAGTTTAAAAATAGGACGTTTTATTATATCGTTATAATTTTTTCAGGTTGAATTTGAAGATGTCGTGGCTGAACCTGATGGAGCTCACAGTATAGTTTGTGTATGGAAAGCTTCTTATTGTTGTTTTAATTTCTGGAAGAATTTCTGGTATAAATTAGCTACTCTATGTTGTGGAATCTGTATAGCTGCTGAATGGGGCTGTGAATTTGCTAGTATCGCCTTTACTCATGTTTGGTTTATTACTCCATTATTCAAAGTATTAGAAATAGAATGTGGTTGTTTAAAGAAATTTTATGGAATGTGTGTCCATTGTTGTTTAGATCCTTGCTGTGAATCTTTAGGACTCGTGTTTAGTGCCTTTAAAAAAGAATAGTGTATAGCAATGAGCCAGTAGAATAAATGTATAATTTATATATTTTTGTGATGTCTGTATTAATAAATACATAGTAGGATACCAATATTTTACTGAGATTTGTTCACTTTCTTTGTCCTCGAAGGATATAGCTATCTAAATATTTGATTTACCTGCTGATAAAGCTTAATGTAAACTATTTGTGCAGTAATCAAAGTATTTGATTTACTAGCTGATAAAACTAAATTTCTGTTAATTAGAATTATTTTCACTCCAGTCAAAAATCGTGGAGTTCGACTACATCTACCTTTTTCCGCATGAATTTATAATCTATCCCTTTGTGTTTCCCCCTTCGCTAGAACTGTTTACGCATGTGAAGGACACATTGTGTATTATGATTCGCCCAGAACGATTGCCAATATTTTTTGGTGGAGCTCGAGAGGGATGTTGTAATGATCCAAGCTTCCATTGACATCGGTACATTGACCAGCATCATAATATATATATTTTAAATGAAAATATGGTTCAATAATAGAGGGATATCAACCAATATGTAAGTTGTGCTGGTAAACCTACACAGATTAATCCATGAGTGATTAATTTAGTCCCCACCGTTCTAATATCGCTTCTGTTCAATTTTAATGTAATCAAATTCTCTATTTCATCGATATCTTTCTGAAATCATTCCAAACAATTCATCAAAGTTAAAACCCCGTTCAAATTAATTTTGTTAATTCTTTAAGTTCACTTCTTCTTCATTTTCATTTGGAAAAAGCGAGGTGATATTAAATAACACAGAACCAGGATTAAGCATTGCATTCAGAGCACTGTAATTTTCTCTAAGTAAAGGCAACGTCAAACTATAAGTGGGTGTGGGGTCAATAGAACACTTTACTGAAATTGACACTCTCAGACGACCCTAGTGACCAGTCTATTGGTCATTCAGTTTCTCATTTAATTATCAATCTGACAACTATGGAGAATTTCCTCAGGGGAACACTTCATTATTCTTTAAAGACTAACCCAGATGAAGTCCAAGGCCTTGGTTAGAAATGAAAAGTATTAAGATGTTCATTAATGATTTCAAGGTACCAAGATATTCACTAATTTGCCCATAAACACACACACACAAAATGTTTTCTTAATTCAATGACTTCATTTAATCTATCTAATAACCCATTTAAGATTTGAATATGCATGTGCAAAAATCACCTAACCAGGCAATATGTGCCGAGAAGACAGTGGTGGTCTTTAGGACAACCATGCTTAGTCCACAAGAGTAAATCAATGACCAATCGCACTGATAACAAATTGTCTTCAATCAATAGGAATCGCCTTTATCTCAATATTATTCCACACAACATGAGAACAATCCGTCAAACAAACGTGGGATGGTGTCTAGAGAGCCCATATTACATATTACTAAGCGAAACACTGCAAAAAAAAATTACCAACATATTCAACAGGGGCCACATTTATCACGAACTTATCTTTTCGCATGAATAAGAATAAGCAACGTTAATCGATCAAGTTTTTTGGTTCTTTGGCTTTTATAATGTCATTAGTCGAAAAAAATGAAAGTGAAAAAAAAAAAAAATCAAATTTCACACATTTTTGGCCCATACAACTGTTTCAAATATCAATTCTATTGATGATTGTTTGATTAAATGGAATAAAATAAATGTATTATATTCTTTCATACTAAAATTTCTGGGCAAAAAAAGTCAGAATTGAAAAGTAGATCACTGGCCAGTCTCTGTTTATCTCCAATTCAAGTTACCAATAAAGCATTTAAGAATGAAGCCATAATGTTTTGAAAACTCGTACTTAAAACAACAGGATAGATTTCTGGCATAACGTGTTTAACACTGCGAAAACAAATATTTCCGACCCGAAATGTCAAGGGGGTTTTCACGCCTGTCAACTTGATAATACCACACGAGTTGGAGATGATACTCTAATGAGTACCAGAACATGATAAAAATCCTCGACACAGGAAACATCAAGCAGCTTGAGAAGTTTCAATTTGCTCTCTAACACTTATACCACCTGGTTTTAATTGCTACCCTCATATCATACTGTCATACTTAGTTACTTATATAATTACATACAGTGAAAAACATTTAAAGAGACAGAGCTCTATACTCTGTCAACGATTCAGCCAATGAAGACAGTTCTCTTTTCTTTCAGTACACATAAATATTGGTCTCAGATCGACTGGCGATTCAAATCATCTATTCGGATCTCTCACGGTCGATATGGGGGAATTGCTCTTATTGAAAAATTAACTAACCAATAGAACAGCCATAAATAAGGTGTTCGCATATACGAATCTCTCAGGTCGATTAGATCCAATTGTCACCACAAAGTATTTGGGGATAACTTCGATTTGTCAATTTTCAGTCAACTAAACCGAGCGATTGATCAGATTTTCTCAGTTGTTGATCTCTGAATATTCCAGTTACAAGATCGACCCGATGCCCGGAAATCTTGGTCATTAAAATTAACGGCTATAGAGAACTCATCAGAGGACAGACTCCCTTTAAAGTAATGTCATGATGCACGATTGCGAACGTGACCAGAGCTTAAGTGCCAATCTTTTATAGTAGTCAATTAATATGACATACGTCGCTATGTATTGACCTTCATGGACACTCATATTGTGGCAAGTGGTTACCTTACCCTCCACATATACATTCTGTTCTTTTGAGGATAGGAAACCCCATAGGAACCAATATCCAAGCAAACGACACATCAAACTTCGATCAACTGTGATCTGGTGGATTTTGACCGCTCGCGTCAAATGAAAATTTAATTCATTTTGACCGCATGGCGTCGCGTTACCAGCCACCCTCGCAGCCCCGAAAGCATGTTTTTCGGGCAAAAATCTCAAATCAGTACAGTAGTTTTCAAACAGATTCCAAATTGCACAACGAACTTAAAAACCTTATGTAATGTTTTTAGATTTTTTTGGTCGTTTACAGCCAGCCTTTTTTTCAGATACGTTAAATAACACAATTCTCTAGATTTTGGTGTATAGTTTTTACACATTTGAGCAAAAAATAATTTCGAGCTCCAAAAAAGCAGAATGTCCCTTTAATGAATTGATAACGGATTCGGAATACAAAACTATTCTTTCACGCTAAAACCAATAGACTTAAAAGTGCGTGGTTGTGATTTTTTTCGCTGCAGTTTGTCATTACCGCACACAGCAATTGCGTTGATCCAAAATAATGCATTTAATTTCCCGTATGAATTCAACTACGTTACTGAGTATGATTCTATCTTTAATAAAACAATTATTGTATAGACACTTCTAATTTATTAACAACTCAAAGTGGTTCTTTCAAACGTTGAAAGTAATAAATATTCCTTTATTCTAGGCGTATCTATCCATAATAAGTCTTTTATTTATCTCTTGTACATCTAATATGCCATTAGAGGAAAATTCCATCCAAGATAGCGAATGGTGCAGATTTCGTGGGCAGACATTAATTCCCACGAAGTAATCTTCCTCTTGCATCCACCCACCTTCGCACCATGTTTATCATATAATGAGTTGTGCAGGGTTCGTGGGCAGACATCAATCCACACGATGTACTTATCACAAGCGGACAAGATACACTGTATATCTCCGACCATAGTGAGTTTGATAATCATGTACCAAATAAACTTTTCAAATTAGACATTATTTCATTGAATGGCAGGTTAATAACCCATGAATCTAGAACTCTCAGTAGTTTTGGAGTTGATATTTCTTTTCATACAAAATATCTATACAGAGCATCGGACAGAATAAGGATGTATCAATGACTATTTATGTACATGTAGGTCTTTACTTGGCAGGAGTTGTACAGCAATTCAGAATAGTTGGAAGTATTATTCAGCTGAGATGATCATTATCCTACACTTCTAATGGATCATATTTTAGGGTTTTCATTGCGATGACTTTTACGGCACTTTTTGGCCTACAACTGGACATATTCTTTTGCACGAAAATCGCATAATAATCGCAATCACATAAATACCTCGAACAAGGAATTTGACTTTTTATGATGTTCCATTAGTTTCTCCTCCGTCTGAACATTGAAGTACCCAAAAACTGTTCCGTTCTACAGTATGGTCTTAAAAAAGGAGAGTCGTCAATGTTATTTTATGGATAATTATGGATACACACGGCTAGGAGCTAAAATGTCGACAGTAAGCTGTGGACATTATTGATAAGCTTAGCTGAAAAATTTCAGTTTCTGAGACTAAGGTATGATTGGCCTGCATTTAACTCAGAGTTTCGTGTAAAGGATTAGCAACTTGACGGTGACCATTTTACTCCACAGAAACAAATGAGAAGACAGGCAAAGGAACCTTTGTATGTTAATTGAAAGCATATAGCAGGACTCTGTTGAGGATGCTGATCTGCTACAGCAAGTGGACAGTTCTCATTTTTTAAATCAGAACTGTGGGTTTATTCCAGGGGTAATCAAGGGTAAGATTACAAAATGGTGAGGTAAATAAAAACAAGAGTGTAACAGTTGACAGATATTTGTTTTAATTATAGCCCTCGGAATTCTACACTTTTCTCATGTTGTAACAGGACGTACATTGGAAATTGAGTAAACTAAAGGATGACATACATAACTACAATCTATACAATACACAATAACTTAATATAGACGTTTTGTTTATTAACAGATCAAACAACAATATATTGTCAATCTGTTTCTAGATATAGTGGCCCAACAAATGAGATGAATAATAATACAAAATGACTAAAAGGTAATTTACAATATTGCCATACATTTTGATTGTGGATTCTCTCCCCCTTGTAGTAAGGAAGAGGGTTATAATTTCATTTTGAAAAAAAAAACATCACAGGAAAAATATAACCCATGACAAGTAAATTAAAATATTCTGGCTGCATAATTTACAAAGCAATTGCAGATCTTTTTTTTCTAAAAAATATTAACACAAAATACATACATCTCTACCCTAACTCTCTCTGACGTGTACATTCTTACGACTTGTGGTTGGTCAATTATTTTCTTCTTCAATATATCAAACAAAAATAGATCTTTATTTTCTTACCATACTACATTAGCACATTATAAAATTGAG